TATCTAAAGGATCCATGCACCACATTTGAGGCGCTCGCCAAGTATCCTCTATTGCAAGACCTGGCACTCAAATATAATACACCCCTAACATTGGCAATTGAAGGAGGCCTCACACAAGCGCATATTAACAGATATAACCAAATAACTGATCTAGCCGACTATTCAGTAGAAAAACTAATCTTACTAAAGGAAAATTATAATTATTAATTAATGGATAAGAACTGTTCTTGTTTAGGTAAGAAATTTTTTCTTACCTGGCCAAGAACAGTTTTTAGAGGAAAACGTATTTTACTTTAATACCAGTTCCAAATCATTCCAATTGCAATTCCAATTAAATTAAAATTAAATTAATTAACTTGTGCTGCAATCCTAGCTCCGAGAATAATTCAAATAGGTATTCCTATTGAAAGTCCAATTACATTTCAATTCGATCATAATTTGTATTGAAATCTCCATTGATGTCAAATTTTCTAGGACAGTTTTTCTACTGAAAGCTATTCGAAAAAAACGTTCTTAATAAATATATATATATTTTATTTCAAAACTGAAAAAGCCATCAAAAACTTCCAATAAATTCCGAAGATTTCAAATAAATTGTCATTCACAATTGTGCTTCGTAACGATTAATGTCATTCGCAGCGACAGAGTGCCGCTATTAAATTCACATTAGTATTTGCACGCTTTCAAGTTGTAAATAAAATTTGAGGTAAATGCCGAAATCATAATTTTAAAGGAAGTGAAGGAAAATGCCGAAGCAAATCTTAAATGCAAGCAACGCAAAGAAGGAAGTTAAGGACAATAAGGATGGCTTAATGGATGCGGCGCACCAAAGAGTTATCAATGCGGGCGCACAGTCGCAGTTGAAAATTGAAGTGAATTTAAATGAAATGACAAAGAAGGCACGAAAGCGTCTACGAGACGCAATTGCCAAGGAAACGTCGGAAGTGAACAGACGCAAGTTAGCTGCAGCCAGAGCGCCAAAGAAATCAAAGAAGAGATCCAAAACAGCTACAGCAGCAGCAGCAGCACCAGCAACAACAACAACGACAATAACAACATCAAAGACTGCGCCAAACACCAATTCCAATTCGAATATGAATATAAAGGCACCTTCCAATGCTCCAAGTTCCAAACCGAATTCAAGCAAAAGCTCAAATTCCAGTGCAGGCAACAGTCAAGTGCAGCTTGGCTTCATAGCATCAAAGAGGTCGGCACCGTTAACCGAGAAACAGATGGGCCGCCTGCAGGAGGCCATATTGGATGTAACTGTAAATAACAAAACCAATTTACGCCCACAATACGACGACTGCATACCGCAGTCGGAGTGGCTGCTGCTGGTGTGCGCCAATAAAAAGACCGCGAACTGGATTAAGGACCATTTCAATTTGATACGCAAACGCTGCAGATTGGAAATCGATTTGCTGGAGGAGAATCAGATACCACGCCATATTATTGAAGGCCATTTTCCCAACAGTGCACATCTGCCGGACGATAAGGTTCTAGCCTTGATAAATGCACAAAATCCCATTCAAACACAACAATGGAGAATTTTACGTCGCTCTGCGAATGGCAGCACGCTGCACTTATCGATAGCTATCGATGGCAATTCAAAGCAAACGCTCGCTGCACGCGGCGGTAATATTTGTTTCTGCTTTGGCCGCATCTGTTTAAATCTTAACAACTATACAGCTGATGTCACCTGTACGAGTATACACTCGATGCAGCATCAGCTGAATGAAAGTAAATTGGATTTGTACAATCAAGTGTCTGGCAGTGAGTGGAATTTAATTATGGACCAATTAGATTCGGTCTTTGATGGCGTCAATAATGTGCGCACTCCCAATAACAGCGTTTCCAATTGGAATGTACAATCCAACTGGGAATTCAACGGGCAGCTGTAAGAGAGGCTTGAGTCACGTAAGCTAAAACTGTATTACTTTATTCTGTTAAATAATATAGTCTAATTTTAGAACATTATTCGCTCAAACAAAGTTTATTGGAAGATTCGCAGCTATATTTACTAAAATCGTTAAGTTAAAAAATATTTATATAAAAAATAACACCGGTTTAACATTGAAGTATAATAGACAAATTAATTTACCATTGGACATTGATTAGAGAAATTCCGTTACGTTCTAATTTGATCTTTCTTTTGTATATAGTTTTGATATTGAAATAAATTTGTATTGAATTTGTACAAATCTTACAATAATTTGTATTAAAAAAAAAATCGAATTAAACCAATTTTTTTAGCATTCCTGTTTGAATTCATTTCAATAGATTTTTAATGTTCTCAGCGAATGGTTAAAATATTGTGAACGAATAGAAATGTCAGAAATTCATACAGTGTGAAAAACAGAGTCAGCGAAGTTATATCTACAGAGGAGAGCTAGAAATTTGTATTATTTCCAAGCAATATTAAAAAAAAAAAAAAAAAACAATAAATAAATAAACATAACAAAGCCAAAAAAAAAAAACAATCTAAATATGCATTCATATAGTCTGGCAAATTTGAGCACGAATCGAACGACTGGACAACTGTTGAGCCAAAAATTGTGAAATTCAATCATGTCTGGACAATCGACAACTTTTTCGATGCGTGGCAATTGAAGGAGAACTGGGAATCTATGGATTTTCCCATCGGGGAGCATGAGAATGAATTCAAATGGCGTTTGAAGTTGGCACTCATCAGGAAGGGGGATAATGTATCTGATTATTTCCAGCTGTCCGTGCACCAGGTTGAACGATTGTATTTTCGTGGAAAGGCTAAAATCACCTGTGCCATAATGAATCACGAGGAAACGCAACAAAGGAAGTTGTGCAATTTAGGCAGCGATAAGACAGTTTGCTTTGAACCGTTCATATATTGCAGCAAACTCTTCAATGCTGATAATAATTATTTACCACACGACAAGTTAACAATCTCTTGCCAAGTCCGCTTGATTACGGACGCTGCGTGTACGTGCGGCAAAATGAATCCGATCAAAGTGCCGGATACCAAGGTAGCTGAAGACTTTGGCAAACTGTTCGACAATGAGCAGTACAGTGATGTTAGGGTTTCATCAAATGGCCATGAGATTTATGCACATAAGAATATATTATCAGGTGAGTGGATGGTACGAATGAAACATCTGAAGATTTGGAATTAAATTCTTTTATTTAGCTCGCAGTCAGTTCTTTGAGGCGATGTTCCAAACGGATCAGCACTCACAGAATCGCGTGATGCTTGACGATGTGGATCCTCAGGTTCTGAACGACTTATTGCGTTTTATTTACACCGATCAGGCGCCCAATCTGGATAATCTAGCCAAGCAACTGCTCCAGGCGGCTGAAAAATTCAAACTGCCCAAATTGAAAGCATTATGTGAGAAATCGCTGTTCAAACAGCTTTGCATTGATAATGCAGCTGAAACGCTTATCTTAGCCGATCAACTCAATGCACTTCAGCTGAAAGCGCGTGCCATTGAATATATAAACAGGAATATGGATAAGGTAAAAGGGACAGAAGGCTGGCATAATTTGGCTCGAAACAATAATCAATTGGTAAACGATCATTTTGTAATCGTTGGTAATTATTCAAATAAGGCAAATTATAGTAAATATTCTTGCGAAAAATGTGGATGAGCAAAAAAATATACTTATTTTATTTTTATTCATACATATACACATATATATTTTCTTTATATATTATTATATATCAATTCTTATACTATCGCTATATTATTATGCATATAATATCATTGTATGTTTATAATAAGTAAATAAAATTACAATATTTAATACAACATAAAGTGTAAATCTACATTTTTGTTTTCATTTGATTTTTTTTATATAAATTTAAGTTTTTTTTAGTTATATTTTATTTATATTTGTTTAATACAATTTCTTTTCTTTAATTTTAGTGTGAAGTTTTAGTTCGACTTTCTTTAAATTTGTTGTTGATTTCGCTTAAATCAATAATGCAAATTTTGTTGTTGCTAAAGCTCTTTTTTAAATCAAAAGCTTTTAGTTCCAAAGCTCTGTAATTATCTGTTCTCTTTATTGCCTATGCATGATCGATTATCTTCCGTGCGTCTGTGTCTCTATCTCACTATATATGTATATGTATATATATTCCATCTAATTGCTTAATGAACTTATTTTTTACATATGTACATATGTATTTATTCGAATCTACCTACACTATTTTGAGGATATCTGCTTGTGGAATTTACTCTCTGAAATGCATTCATTTCCGCTTGCTTAGCTAAACAATACATACATACATACATACATATGTGCATGCATATGTTCCAGTTCCAATCAGAACTTCTTAAAACCCGGATGGGATGCGATGCCACAGCTTTGCCTTGAACCAGTGCCAAATAAGGCGCAGCAGACGCTGATCTCGGGTGGCAATTTTTAAAGCCAGCAGCGCACATTGTATGTCAATTACAGTTTTTATTGCTTACCATTCTTTCTTGTTGTTTTTGTTGTTGTTTGAATGTGAATCAACTGCGGGCAGTACTTTGTTTCAAGCGGCGCTTTGCTTTATGCTTTTGTTCAGCCGCAAAAGGTGAAACGGGGCGAACAAAGCAAAGCTTTAACTTCCTTCTCGCTCAGTATCGGGCGCTCTGTTCACTCTCTCGCACAACGACGGCGCCAGCCGACAGCGTAATTAATAAATAAGAGAAAGAAAGATGCAAATTGAACGCATGTTTTTTATGACCGCCAAGTGAAAATGAAAATTGTCGCGCAATTTGTTTTGGCGCTCTACAGCGAGATAACGTCTGTCTACGCACCTAAACATGTTTAAAAGTGGCGACACGCCTCCTCCTCTGCCCCTTAGCTGGCGTTGCTGTGCGTATGCGCAATTTCAAGTTTTATACCGATTCGATCAAATTTCACTTTTTATGTGATCTCAATTTGATATGTACATATGTATGTCTAACAGACTTACATACTTGCAGCATACATACAAACACACATAATCTGCGTGGCTGCAGTAAATTTCAACTGCTTTGACCTCTCGAATCTAATGAGAAAGAAGAAAGGTAAATTAATTGAGGCGTTGGGCGTGTAGGTGGAAAATTTCGCTGGCACTTTATTTTGTGTTTTGTTTGAAATTTTGTTTTTGTTTTTTATTTTTAGCGTGGGTCTCAGCTTATTAAGTCTTAATGTCTTTGAGTTCACTGCACTTGCGCTGTCAACATACATACATATGCACATACATACATACGTGTAAGTATAGAAACGACAGTTATCTCTTGTCTATACGCACTTTGCTATTTATTGATTTATAGCCCACCAGCCGGGCGTGCATTAACAGATAAGCTAGTTAAAAAGTCACTCAATTCTTCTCGCACACTTGCTCACCTACATACATAAATATTATTTTCTGCAAATCTAAGTGGATGACTTCATTAAAACAACAATAAGAGTGAAACAGCAATACAAAGGAAGTTACCCAATTGAGCTGTGGGATATTTGTCTACGCTGCCAAAAATAATGATCAACACCTTAATTCGCTCTCTCTTTGCCCCTTGGCATTCGTTA